TTTTGGTTATAACGCCCATCGAAACACGAAAGAAAAAAAAAGGAAGAAATTTGTACCTACAAATTTTGGCTCTGCAGCCTAGAACTGATCATCATATTTGCTTTAAAGGAAACTTGGCTTTCTCATTTTCATTAGCTAACATTTATTATGTGATTTCTGTGTACTGGGCACTTCCAACTATAGGGAGGAAAATCAGAGCTTTAAGCTAAATAACTTTAAGCTTTAAGCTAAATAACTTACCTGAAGCCACGAACTGGAAAATAGAATGGCCAAAGTAAGAACTCAAGTCTTAATTAGTAGACTTAACTCTCTGATTTACCTTATCATATCTTTCCTCACTTGTTCTCCCTTGTACTTGCAAGGGTAATAGAATCTTGCTTCCTGCCATACCATCTGTAAATAGTCCATCTTTCCTTGCAAAACAAAACAACAAAAAACAAAACAACAAAAAAACAAATGCTATACATAAGATTTTTCTGTATAACTTTTAGGGATGTACCTTATATCAATTGGTTTGTGCACAAAATTACATTGTCTTGGGGACAATTTAACTATCAAATTTTTAAAATGTATGAAGTGATTTGCCCTGGTAAATTAATCTACATTTTAAGGTAAATTTTATTGCAACTAAGGAGAAGTCACTTTAAATAAATAAGACTATAAAATACTCAAAAGCACAAATACTTCTATATGTATATGCACTGTATAGCTTAGGATACAAATATGAAGTATATAATCATCAGATGACTGGGACCACAACAATAAATTTCACTGACTACTAAAAAGCATGAATGTACATTCAGTGCATTCACACTCTATGAAAATAGCATCCGAATGGTTCTTTCAAGGGCCTTTTTTTCCCCTATAAAACTTTCCCCCTTCTTATACTTCACAAACAGAATAGCACTTAATATGGAGCTGTTGAGTAGCAGAAAAATTTTCAGATTCACAATTGTGATTCTTTTTTACTTTTTATCAATAGGCATTAGCATGACATTTTCCAAATTGGTATCCACAGTTAAAAAAAGTTTTTTTCCTGATTATAAAGCAATACCCATTCAAGGTTGAAAACTTAGTGTGCTGAAAAATGATAATTCATCCATAATTGCTCACCTAGAGCCCATGTCTAGACATAATTTTTTTTATGTACTTGTGATCATTCAATTTTGGTTTTTTTGTTTTCTATTTAACATTATAGAGGATTTTTCTTTCTTTTTTCCACTTTTTCCAAGTATTACAATGGACCCTAGGGATCTTAATCTATTTGGTGTGTTACAATCATTTAAAGTTGCTAGTCTCTTTTGATTCCCAAATTGTTCCAGATTCGTCTAGTGAGAGCCTCTCCAAGCTGGTCCCTGTGTTCACGAGTCATGATTCCATTAGTTCTCTTTTTCAAAAATTGCGGTAAAATACACATAAAATTTACTTAACCATTTTTAACTGTACAATGCAATATTGTTAAGTACCTTCATAGCGTTGTGCAATTGCTCTCTGGGACTTTTCATTTTGCAAAACTGAAACTCCATACTCATTAAACAACTTCCCATTTCCTCCTCCCCCAGCCCCTGACAACCACTATTATACTTTCTGTTTCTATGAATTTGATTATTCTAGATATGTCATATAAATGGAATTATAGTAGTTGTCTTTTTCGTGACAGGCTTTTTTCACTTAGCATAATGTCCTCAAGGTTTATCCATGTTGTAGCATGTACCAGAATTTCCTTCCTTTTTAAGGCTAAGTATTCCATTGTATGTACCTATTGTATCTTGCTTATCCATTCATCCGTCAGTGGACACTCGGATTGCTTCCACGTTTTAGCTATTGTGAATTCAATATGGGTGTACAACATGTAAATAATGTGTAATATTATTTAATATGTAAATACCTCTTTGAGACCAATCATGCTTTCAATTCTTCTGTGTATACACCCAGAAATGGAATTGCTGGATCATGCGGTAATTCTATTTTTAATTTTTTGAGGAAGCACCTCATACCATTTTCCATAGCGCCTGTATCATTTTACATTCCCACCGACAGCACACGAGGCTCCTAATTTCTCCATATCCTCATCAACACTTACTATTTTCTGGATTTTTCATAACAGCCATCCTGATGGATGTCCCATTAATCTTTGAACATGCTATTGCATTCTGATTCAGATGTTCTGGCTCACCTTGCCCCAGACATGGAATCAGTCATTTCTCTAAGAAGCCTTGCTTCTTTAAGTGGAAACTGGAATTCTGAAATTAAGATCTGGGTGCTCAGTGAGCTTAGGCTATTGGAGAAGCATTGCTATTAGGGTGTAATATTACTTCTAGATTCTTCCAGTATGCACAACTAGAAAAATATTTTTTTAAGTGATGAATTCACATTATCTCCAGTTCATATTTAACATTAGAGGGTTTTTCTTATTTTATATTTGTATCTTTTCTTTTACAATGAAATCTTGGTTCTTAATATATGAATATATTTACTTGTTTTGTCTTAGAGTATTCATTAAAAAGATTTCAAATTTCATTTCTAACAGCAGTATGAATAATAAACGTGGTGAGAGAAATTTCCTTGCAGATCCTTTTGTCCTTAGTCTCTAAGGCTTAGACACATCCATTAAGGATATTCAGTCAGAGTACTTTTTCTTTCCTTTATTTGGTTATATACCAACATTACCATTTGATTAATTAATTAGATATGTTTGTTTCTGTTTGTGCTCGATTTGGGGGCTTGATTCTGTTTTATCTTAATTGTTTTGTGAACATGCAAACCATTAACATGATTCAAAAGTTAAAACCATATGCACACACTTCCTATAAGTAACCATTTTTATTCACTTCTGGGTTATCATTCTTTTTTTTACCCAATATAGGCAAATATATGCACATGTATTCTCATTTCCCTCTTACACAAAAACTGACATACTATACATATTATTCCACTTCTTGCTTTTTTCCCTTTAACAATACCTTCTGGAAATCATTTTATGATAATTCTTAGGGACAAACCCCTTTCTTCTTTAAGACTGCATAGTAGTTTTTTACTGTTGTACTAGGTCGTTTCCAATCTTTTGCTATTATAAATAATACCATAATAAATGCACATATGCTGTTTTATATTTGTTGAGTCATATCTTCAGAGTATATTCCTAGAAATGAGATGGCTGAGTGGAAGGGTAAATGCACAAGTTATTTCATTAGACTTTGCTAAATTCTCCTCCATAGGGGCCATGCCATTTTAGCGTCCCACCAAGTGATGTGTGAGAATGTCTGTTTCTTCACAGCTTTGCCCAAAGAATGTAATCCTTAATGCTAAGGATTAAGATCTTTTTTTTTTTTTTTTTTTTTTTACCAATCTGGTAGGTGAGAAATGGCATCTCTGTGTGGTTTTATTTTTCATTTCTCTTATTCTGGGTATGCTTGAAGACTTAAGGGTTTTGCTTTCCTGTTTATGCGGACTTCCATTCATGCCTTTTGCCCATTTTTCAGTCTCATTTTAAAACCTTTTCTTCTTACCTTTTAAAAGTCCTTTACATATTAGGGAGATTAGCTCTTTGGGTTATAAGGTGCAGATATTTCCCCCAGTTTATCATTTATCTTTTGACTTTGCATATGTCTTTTGCCATACACCATTTCTTTTTTTATTATTATTTTAAATGTAGTTGATTCACTGATCTTTTATAACTTCTGCATTTTCTTTTTTTTTTTAAGATTTTATTTATTTATTTGACAGAGAGAGAGAGACAGAGAGAGAGGGAACACAAGCAGGGGGAGTGGGAGAGGCAGAAGCAGGCTTCCTGCCGAGCAGGGAGCCTGATGCAGGGCTCTATCCCAGGACCCTGGGATCATGACCTGACCCGAAGGCAGACGCCCAACGACTGAGCCACCCAGGTGCTGCTATAGCTTCTGCATTTTCAAGTCATAGTTAGAAAAGCTTTCTCATAGAATTAGTATTTTAAAAATTATTTAAATATATGATTTTTATTGTCACATAAATCTATTATCTCTTAATTTCCGTATTAAGAGACATTAGTCTTTATCCTTTTTTCTGTTATAAATATAATTAAATATGTGACAAACATATTATCAATAAATCTCTATTTTCTTCTACTATTTTCTAGGGTTGAAAGGCATGATGTTATTTAAATTTGGTATGTGTTACCTAATTGTTTGCAAGGTGGTATCAAGTTACACTCCCACCAACAGAATTTAAGTTCTTACCTCACAACACCTTCAGCAACAATAAATTTTTTTTATTCTTATGTTAATCCCCTACATTACATCATTAGTTTTAGATGTAGTGTTCCATGATTCATTGTTTGTGCATAACACCCAGTGCTCCATGCAGAATGTGCCCTCCTCAATACCCACCACCAGGCTAACCCATCCTCCCACACCCCCTCCCCTCTAGAACCCTCAGTTTGTTTTTCAGAGTCCATCGTCTCTCATGGTTCGTCTACCCCTCCTATTTCCCCCGCTTCATTCTTCCCCTCCTGCTACCTTCTTCTTCTTCTTCTTTTTTTTTTCTTAACATATATTGCATTATTTGTTTCAGAGGTACAGATCTGAGATTCAACAGTCTTGCACAATTCACAGCGCTTACCAGAGCACATACCCTCCCCAGTGTCTATCACCCAGTCACCCCCAGCAACAATAAATTTTAAAAATTAAAACCAAAACCATGTTCTAACTTCATACATAAAACATTGCATCATTTTTTCATTGCCTTTTATATTTCATGAAGAACCACACTTTTTTTTTTTTTAAGATTTTATTTATTTATTCATGAAACAGGGGGAGAGAGAGAGACACAGAGACAGAGAGAAGCAGGCTCCCCGCTGAGCAGGGAGCCCGATGTGGGACTCGATCCCAGGACCCTGGGATCATGACCTGAGCCGAAAGCAGACGCTTAACCATCTGAGCCACCCAGGCATCCAAGAACCACACTTTTTTAAAAAAAGATTTTATTTATTTATTTTACAGAGAGAGACACAACGAGAGAGGGAACACAAGCAGGGGGAGTGAGAGAGGGAGAAGCAGGCTTCCCGCTGAGCAGGGAGCCTGATGTGGGGCTCGATCCCAGGACCATGGGATCATGACCTGAGTGGAAGGCAGACACTTAAGGACTGAGCTACCTAGGTGCCCCAAGAACCACACTTTTTCATGTTTTTATTCCATACTCTTACTTCTCCTATAAATTATGGACTCATGGCCTTTTCCAAGTAAAAATTGGCAACTTTTTTCTTATTGATTTGTTTACATGATCCTGTTTGACAAGACAAGAAATGAGTCTTATGGCTAGGAACCAGAAGACTCAGAGGGTTAGAAGACAAGACCTATGAGAAAGGTTAAAGACCCATACATAAGACTTAATTTTTCAAAACGGAGCTTGTTTTCTAGCTTCCACCAGGACACGATGGTACAGAAAAGGCTGGTGTTGCTCATTCTGAGTTGCGTTGGTAGATATGGAATGGTGGTCATGGCTTCCTCTCCCATCCTGTTTCCATGCTTTTGCAGGCTTCCAGGGACCTTAGCCAGGCTGGACCTAAAAGGCAATGCCATCCAGAATATTGCTGAGATGGAACTCAAGGATCTAAAGCAGCTTCAGGTTCTAAACCTTAGGAACAACAAGATTTCTGCTTTAGACCTCAAAGTCTTGGAGGGGTTGCCTCGCCTCAGACACCTGTATCTGGATGGAAATCCGTGGAATTGCACCTGTAGTCTCGTAAGAGTGAGGGAGATCCTGAAGGCCAAGGGCACGGATGTGAGGGGAGGACAATGTGCTGCACCAGCTGAACGACAAGGGGAGAGCTGGATGTCCTCCAAGAAGATCATGAGACAATGTGAGCATCACTTACATCTGACTGAGAAAAACAAAGAGACCAAAAAGAAATCAAAACCGGAAGAACACTCCAGAATCAACATGGATGATGATTATTATGATTATGAAATAGATTAAGTATGGGCTTTGTTTACAGTTTAGAAAAGGTTTTTTTTTTTTTTAAATAGACTTCATTTTAGAGCAGTTTTAGGTTCATAGCAAAATTGAGAGCAAGATTACCTCCTACTTCCACACATGCATGACCTCCCCGATTGCTACATCCCCCTCCAGAGTGGGACATTTATTACAATTGAAGAACCTGCATTGACACATCATCATCCCCTAAAGTCCATGGTTTACACTAGGGTTCTCTCTTGGTGCTGTACATTCTGGGGATTTGGACAAATGTTTGATGACATGTATCTATCATTATGGTACCACACAGAGTAGTTTCACTGCTTTAAAAATGCTCTGTGCTCCAGAAAAAGTTTTATAGTGTTCAATCTCTTAAACAGAAATATTCAATAAATTTAGATATGCAAGACTCTTTTTGTAAGTTTTTTTTTTTTTTTTTTTTTTTTAAGAATGAAATGAGAGTTAAGATAAGTTGAGGTGGGGGAGGAAAGGGGAAAGGGACAGTGGTAAAAAGTGGTAAAAAGATATGAGATTCCTTCCACTTAATTTGTGTTTTATACTGAAATCTACACAAATAAAGATGCCAAATAAAACTGCCATCTGGTTCACTTCTTGCAAATAAAGTAGTTCATTTTATCACATAAGGTGATGACTTTTGCGTATGAAGCTGGTGACGGCAGGCCTACACTACAGGCTTTTGACTAAGCAATAGGAACAGATTCCAGCTTAAGCAAGAAAGAAAGTATTGGAAAGACTGGGAATAGCTCACAGAATCAAAGGAAAAGCTGAAGAATCTGGAAAGAACAGGGATCAGAACTGCTCCAGGGCCCTGAGCAGAAGGGCATAATGGAGAGGCCCTCAGCTTCTTCAAGGTTCTCTGTGCAGAATAAAGAGCTCCTTCTATTATCAGTGTTATCTTCTCCACATTCATATCCTCAGAAGGAGAGGCCAGTTGGCCTAAGTCGGGTCATATGTTCACCCTTGGCTAAGGGACAGTAGGTCTTGTTTGACAGTCTGACCAAGACCAAGGGTAAACCAAAAAGGAAGTGTAAACTGGCACCTTATATACTGTGGATGTCCTTACAATGGACTTCCTGAAAAGAGTTGTATTCTGAGTTCCATCTGGGGTTCCTTGAGTGGACGACAATCCCCACACTCCCTTCCTTTTGATGAACTGCATGCTTTTGAGAGTTGCCTGTCTGGGGATAGAGGTGTGACTGTAAAATAATTTTTTTTCTATCAATCTACTTATAAATATCATCTACTAGCATATAAATCTGAAACCCCATCTAAATTGGCTCCCTTTCTAATTAGTAAGACTTATCTGCTGCAGTATTTATTTTAGAAAGTTTTCCATCAAAATGCTCCTAAAGGCAAAGAAAGTAAATAATAGAGATTGAGCAGATGAGTTAATATGCCCACCAGAAGCTTGAACTTTCTCTCCAGGGTTGTGTTTTCAAATTTTATGCAGAATTTGTATTACTTGTTTTATATCCACATTTTCTTCTCCCAAAATCTTTATGAAATGGACATCCCTTGGAAAAGAGCCTGATTGTTACTGTGGCTGCTAGCACTCCTTGGCACACTGACAGGTATCTCAACTACATAAAGCATGGAAGTACAGAAATAAGGGAACTCGTACATGATTTTTCTTGTTATTGTGTGGGTTTCAACTCTTGTAATGTGTCAGACCTACCATTCTAAGAAAAACCAATGATTGGTGATATGTAATAATTTACACCCACTGCCATTTTCTGGGTATTAATAGTCAGAATTCCCAAGCTATGAGGGCCTTGAGGAAGAATCGTTTTACAGATGTGAGAAGGCCGTCTCAGAGGGGTGAAGTCACGGTCAGGTTCACACACATAGAAAGTGGCAGAAGTAGTACTTGACTGCATCTGGATTTTTTAACTTTCGTCCAGTACTCCTACTACAGCATTTGCTGTGAGATTCACTTAGGACACTCTACTCACAAACAATGTCCAGAATAATAAAATGTTCCATAAAATATGTGAATTCATCTGCTTTGGCAGCCATAACAAAATACCACAGGCTGGTATTTTCTCACAGTTCTAGAGGCTAGAAAGCAGAAGTGAAAGACATCTACGGTGAGAGAGAGCTATGGTGTCTCTTCTTCTTATGAGGATACTGGTCCTATTGGATTAGGGCTCCACCCTTATGACCTCATTTAATGTTAATTACCTCCCTAAAAGTCTTATCTCCAAATACAATCACATTGGGGGTTAGGGCTTAATGTAAAAAATTTGGGGAACACAATTTAGTCCATAACAGTATGTGTGGGTGTGTATGTATGTATGTATGTATGCATGTATCTACATACATACTTATACTATCTACCTTAGTTTTGGGCTCTTGCTTAAGTTTATTGATAAACTTACCAAAAAAAGAGAAAAAGAAATAAGAAAAAGGTAAAGGCTGGGGAGGACAAGGTAGAAAAGGATAAAGAAACTTTAAGGCCCGTTATCACACATTGATACTTACGTAGAGATTTTTTAAAAATCAGGTATTTAGCTACTAATCTGAGAAGGCAGCTAGAGGGCAACGTTGAGCTATAGGGCAGGTGAAACTTAGAAGGTAAGCGTGAAATATAGACTATGAGGTCATGCTTCGTGATCCCAGAAGGCAGGTGTAGGTTGAGTGTCATTGGAGTTGGAGAAGGGGCCGTCATCTTGGGCACAAGGGTCCATTTAATGCCTGCAAAAAGGGATTACTTGGTGGTAAATAAGGAAAAGGGGAGATAAACTTCTCAAGACTAGTTTTTCCTATGTTACCTTTTAGTGCCAGTATTCCCTCATCTGTAAAGTGGGGACTGTAGTACTAGCTCCTTACATTAATTCTTTTGAATTAAACTCATATGGAAGAAAAACATTTTCTTTTTTTTTTAAAGATTTTATTTATTTATTTGAGAGAGAGAGAATGAGAGACAGAGAGCATGAGAAGGAGGAAGGTCAGAGGGAGAAGCATACTCCCTGCTGAGCAGGGAGCCTGATGCGGGACTCGATCCAGGGACTCCAGGATCATGACCTGAGCCAAAGGCAGTCGCTTAACCAATTGAGCCACCCAGGCTCCCTGAAAAACATTTTCTTAATTGCCCCCATAATTTGCAAATCTTCCTCTCTCCAAATGGAGACATTCATTGTTCTATACCCCAGATGCCAATCACAGAGTGGCATATGTAAATGACACCTCCTGGGATTACACAGTGGATAGCATGTGTCCCTTCTTTTTTTTTTTTTTTTAAGATTTTATTTATTTATTTATTTGAGAGAGAGAGAATGAGAGAGAGCAAGCACATGAGAGGGGGGAGGGTCAGAGGGAGAAGCAGACTCCCTGCCGAGCAGGGAGCCCGATGCGGGACTCGATCCAGTGACTCCAGGATCATGACCTGAGCCGAAGGCAGTCGCTTAACCAACTGAGCCACCCAGGCGCCCGCATGTGTCCCTTCTGAAGGCATTTTTATTCCCTCGCTGCTTTCCCTCTCCCATTTCAAAGCATGCCTGCTTAGACCTGCCAAAAGTCAGAACTGAACCACTGCCTGGTCATAACCCTCCCCATGGCTGCTCCCTTGGTAATACAAATCCTGGTTGAAGCCTTTAAATTGCTCCCTGTAAGAGATTGATCGGTCTTAGATAAAAGACTAGTCTTGCACTCAGCCTTGGGAAGGGGAGTGAGAATAACCAAAATGAATGAATAACTGCAGTGAATGATCTGAATAGAGGGCACAGATGCTCCTTTTTGGCACACACACAGGGTCACACACGAAAGTACTACTTTTATCAGAGCTGATAGTCTCATTCAGGAGCATTCTTAGTTTCTACTTGGAAATGCTCAGAATGTATAAACTTTAAAGAGTTTTTCCTCACAGACTTTATAACTTTCTGTTATGCAATACATGCAATAGCAGCTACTCTGGACTTGCCTTCTTTAGATGTGTAGGTTTTCTGCTAATGCCTTTGCAAAGAGGCTCACAAGTCTTCTCAAATTCTCTGCTTTGTCACATTTCTGAATCTCCTCCCTGACTTCATGGTCATGAATGTCCTGGTTTTAGATGAAAAAGGTGTCTCCTCTCTCTAAAGAAGTCCTTTAAAAAAAAAAAAAAGCCTTTTTTTTTTTTTCCCCTCTAGTTGTTCATGTCCCCTCATCAAATAATGCGCTGGTATTGAGGCTGTAACCAAAAATTCTGGTCTCCTCAATGTAAAAAACCGTGTGTGTGTGTGTGTGTGAGGGGGTGTCAGTCGGTTGACATTTAATGCTTTCATGTCTTTTAAATACATGCTATATGGATTTCACCAGCCCTGAAAAACAGAATAATCATTATCCTTTTAAAGCTCTACTGTGCCAGAGGTCATGACTCAGTTACATCACTCATCATTTAGTCAATTAGATATTTTGCTCTTAGCCAAATTTGCTTAAACAAATGTGCGCATAAATGAAAAACTATCTTTACAAGTCAACCAGAAATTCAATGGTTTTCCATCATATAATGGTGTAGTGAATGTTAAAAATTGGATTCTTGCTAGCCTATTAGTCGGAAACCTTAGGAAATGGTAAAAGTGTCCTAAAACACAGTTTTGTAAGAATGAACTTTGTGGAACTGGTATCATCCCAGTAATAATAATGGATTATCTTAGCAGTTTGATTTATTAACATTACTAGCACTGTCTCTGCAGTCTAGGATTGCCTTTATTCTAGATGGTATCTGTTTTTGACAGGGAAGAGCTAGTATGATGGATTTCTGTATCCTTTTTCTAAGATAGAATATTGTTCTAATATTCTCTATAGGCTTTCACAAAACGCTGTTTTTAGAAATCCAATACAGAGGATTTTACTTAATAACCACTATTCAACTTTTAAAACAGTCACTGACAATTGCCTCTAGAGTGTTCTTATCCCAATCTATCTTGGTTTCAGGAAAATATCTAATATGTAGTTATTCCTTCCCACCTATTCTCTCCCCACAACACAAACCCCCCACAAGCTGTTACCCAGTGTTGGATCATCGTTATTCAGGCTTACAGTATTCATTTCTGCTTTACGATTAATTTACCAACCACTTTTTTTTTTTAAGATTTCACAAATGCCACTGAAAATAATACTCTCTGATAGACACTAAATGTCCATTATTATATGAAAAGTAGCTCATGATTAATTGTTCACTTGGAAATGTAATGAAATTTCAAAATGGGATCCCTGTGTTACAGGCTATGTATATCGCTAATTTTTAAAAAATTTTTTTAAGGATTTTATTTATTTACTTGAGACAGAAAGATACAGAGAGAGAGAGAGAGAGAGCATGAACAGGGGGAGGGGCAGAGGGAGAGAAAGAAGCAGACTCCCCGCTGAGCCAGGAGCCCCATGTGGGGCTCGATCCCAGGACGCTGGGATCATGAGCTGAGACGAAGGCAGATGCCTAACCATCTGAGCTACCCAGGCACCCTGTATTGTTAATTATCATCTATTCTACCAGATCATTTTACAAAAATTACCTCCTCCAAATGTATTAAGTCAGCAGCAATGTTTGTAGATACCTGTTTCTACGTGGTCATCAGCATTTACCCTCGGTCTTTACTTTTTGCCAGTCTGATGAGTGAAAAAACAGTATCTCATTGTTTTGATTTTCACTTTACTGACTGATTGTGAGGTCGAGTATGTTTTTATATGTTTGTTCGCCTTTCTGTTTCCTCTTCTGTTAATGACCTATTCATCCACTTTGCCCATTTTAAAAAATTCAGGTCTTTGTCTTTTCTAAAAACAATTTGTAGATTTCTTCAAGTAGTAGGGATATCACCTCTATTGTCAGATATATTACTAACATTTTCTCCAAGATCATTTTTCTTTTGACTTGGTTTATGATGTCTTTTGTCTTATAAAAAAAATTTAAACTTTAGATAATCGAATTGGTCAATCTTTTTTTTTTTTTTAAAGATTTTATTTATTTATTTGAAAGAGAGAGAGAGAGCACGACCGGGAGGAGGGGCAGAGGGAGAAGCAGACTCCCTGCCAAGCAGGGATTCCTACCTGGGGCTTGATCCCAAGACGCTTAACCGACTGAGGCAGGGAGACACTTAACCGACTGAGCCACCGACTGAAGGCAGACGCTTAACTGACTGAGCCACCTAGGCACTCCTGGTCAATCTTTTATATATGAAGTAAAAGTTATGCACATTTATGTATATACACTAAGATATATTTTAGTGTATATATGTGTGTGTGTATACAATATGTGTATATGTGCATATATATAGTGTACGCATAAGATATAGATCTACTCTGTGGATAGATATATAACCTGGTGACATATGTTTCAATATTCTGTGCTACTTAGAAATTTTATATGTAACTCAAACCAATTAATCAATTAACCTGATCGAATATTATTTCCAACTGTTAAAGTCAACTAAGGATCTTGGAAATTCTCCTTAAAATGACATACTACATATCATAATTAATGTTGACATACAAAGCTCATCAGAATTTATATAGTGCTAAATTGTTGAACATGTGATTTTACATTTTTCCCAATTGTAAACATTATGTAGGAGTAAATGTATCTGATCAATAACACAGCGCAAGAACTCAGGAAGTTCAGATTAACTAGTCTCTTTATGAGAAGACAAGTCTAGGGAATAATCTTACAGACTTTTCAAAAACCCAAACTATCAGACAAGTGTGATTGATCTCTTACAAAGATGTTGGATGCTTTTTTTGGATTTTGGACCTAGCAGTTTCTGTGAGAAAGGGGCTTTTTTTTCCTGTAAAAAACTGTACATAATTTTTTGTTTTTGTTTTTGTTTTTCCTGGGAATTTAGGAAGATTTGATTCATGTAAGTACTTTATAGCCTCTAGAAACCAATCAGAATAAGGTTCCTTTTGCTTAAGTAATTTGTAATCTAAGCCAGATTGGCTAACTTCTTTTTTTTTTTTAAGATTTTTTTTTTTAATTTATTTATTTGACAGAGAGATAGCACAAGTAGGCAGAGCGGCAGGCAGAGGGAAAGGGAGAAGCAGGCTCTCTGCTAAGCAGGGAGCCTGATGTGGGCCTCAATCCCAGAACCCTGGGATCATGACCTGAGCCGAAGGCAGACACTTAACGACTGAGCCACCCAGGCACCCCTGGATTGGCTAACTTCTAATGTAAATGACCTGAGAGTACATATTTGTGACTCTGTGGGCCTTGCAATCTCTGTGGCAACTACAACTCTGCCATAGAAAATTCATAAATAAATGGGGGTGGCTGTGTTCTAATAAAACTTCTAAAAAACTGGCAGTAGATGAATGGTTTATGGTCCATCATGTAAGGAGTTTGGAAGTTGTCGATCTGTTGTAACAGCAAATAAAAAAGCTGAACAAATTCAAAAATCAACAACTCTTTTTTGATCCATAAGAGAAGTGGGGTCACAAGGCAGACTGCTGCTCCCCAAATCAGAGAGATGGGTGAATGCAGAGAATCACAGTTTACTGGAGCAGAAAGCCCTGAGCAGACACCTCCGCAGGGACCAGTGCTATGGCAGAAAAACCTGAACTGTAATTGATGAATTGCTGGAGGCTCAGAGTGGACAAGTCTGAGAATTAAAAACGCTGCGTGGGTTCGGGAGGACAGGCACGGGAAGTCTCCCCTACTTATGTGCGCTTTACCTTCAGGAGATCAACCGGGTTCTCAAGTGAATATTACAGATAAAAATCACCCCATGCTTCTGGCAGCAGGAGGCGGAAAGGAACCTTTGAAATAGACCAGAGCATTCTATGCTTAACAAGGCATGCTCTCAAGAGAAACTCTTTCACCACAGTCTAAATTACTGGGGTTTTATCTGGTCTAGGGGGAGAGAAACACCCGACTCCAGCCCTGTCTAGCCATCCTGGCCCACGTAAGAGGGGGTGGGCTAGGGAACTGAAAACACTTGTGAGTTCACAGACCAGAGGCACAGGCTCACTAAAAGACTGAGACCTGACCATAGGATTACAGAAGCCTTCCCATCCTCTGCATCTCACCACCACATTGCCAAGGGACTCTTCACAGCAGTTCCTCCCCCAGTACATCATGTCCAAGCCTCAAGTAAAAATTACAACGCATTCTAAAAGGCAAAAACAAAGAACAAAACAAAACCAGTTTGAAGAGAGAAAGCAAGCATCAGAACTAGACTGAGATATAGCAGGGATGTTGATACATATCAAGAATGTCATACACTTGGAATCACACAGTATGTATGTTCCCATAACATTGGAGACTTACTTTCTGAGGCTGTGGAATTCTTTCTGCATTTTTCTGCCCCTGGTAGAACTTGGGTGTTGGGGATTATGCTTAAGAAGTCCAAAATTTATATTATATTTATATGAACCCCTAACGTTCCTAGAAGTGTCACATTAGCTACATTTTTTTTTTTAAATGACAAAATAAGAAATCCTTTAGAAAAGAGAGAACTGCATAAACTTTGGATTGAATGGATATACATAACAGGATATTATTATGTTTTCCTGTTATCTCAGAATTATAGCAGAAAACAAAATGCATCAAACCTACCTCCTCTTTTTTTAAATTTTATTTTATTTAAATTCAACTAAATAACACATAGTGTATTATTAGTTTCAGAGGTAGAGTTCAGGGATTCATCAGTTGCATATAATACCCAGTGCTCATTACATTACATACCCTCCTTAAGGCTTATAACCTAGCTATCCCCTCTCCCCACCCACCTCTCCTCCAGCAAGCCTCAGTTTGTTTCCTATAGTTAAGAGTCTCTTATTTCATTTTTTGAGGGCTGAGTACTATTCCATTGTATATTACATATACCACATCTTCTTTATCCATTCATCTGTCGATGGGCATGGGCTCTTTCTATAGTTTGGCTATTGTGGACATTGCTGCTATAAACACTGGGGTGCAGGAAACCTACCTCCTTCTAAGCACAGAGAAGTAGCCAGAATTTGAAAGCAAACACCAGACACTCCCATCTCTAGCCCACTGAAAGATGCCAAAGCAGAAAAGTAGGGGCCCCTACTTCCTTGTAGAGGTTGAATATTTATTTTTTTGAGAGAGAGTACGGGGCTCAATGCAGGGCTCGATGCGGGGCTTGATCCTATGACCCTGAGATCATGACCTGAGCTGAAATCAAGAGTCAGATGCTTAACCGACTGAGCCACCTAGGCGCCCAGGAGGCTGGACATTTTTAAGCCAGGAGACCTGTTAACCTACCTCTGGTTACTCTTGGAGGAAAAAAACCAAACATTTGAGGAGAGGAGCCAGGATCTGCATGTTGGGGGCAGTGGTGGGTACTGTCAGATAGAGATGGGGCCAGAACCCCTTTGCTTACATTTGCAACTCAAGGAAGTACAAACATTGTAGCCCACATGTGCCTGCAGACCTGGGAGTTGGCCACGGGGAGATGAGATTGATGGCTTTAATCTTGTCAGAAGTGGCAAACACTGGGGCATAGAGTACATCAGAGAAATGTAGCATCGTGTGCGTGTGTGTGTGTGTGTGAGGGGATGTCCTTCAGAATACATAGCCACATTTCAGAAGGACGCTCGTGCCTGGGAGCTTCCTTAACAGAGCATCTGGAATCACATAAACAACAGCAATGGCTAGGGAGGAAGAAGACTGCAGCTTTTCCTGCTCACTGCCTTTCCCATCTCCCTCTTCTTTGTCCATCACCAGAGATGCAAGTGCAGAGGACACGGAGAGAGGTAGAAGTGTGTGAAGGGTGTGCCTGCTGCTTAGCCTTCAGTTCCTCAGGCTGAACTGCCAAAGGGAGGAGAACTTTGAGATGGACGTGAGATTCCAGTTTTAAAATAAAGTAAAGTGGGAGTCTTAGAAAATGAGACTGGTCCAAAAAGTGACAATGATCGAAACATGAAGGTATGTAGCCAAGGTGTTCACAGATGTTTCCCAGGGGGAAAGGGGGCTTGAGAGAACAAAGAGTAGGTAGGCATTACACAAATGTAATTGTTTTATATATTATATATAACATGCAATAATATTATATATATATACACCCACATGTACATTTTTTAAAGATTTTATTTATTTATTTGAGAGAGAGAGAGAGAGCATGAGCAGGGGGGAGGGGCAGAGGGAGAAGGAGGAGCAGACTCCCCACTGAGCAGGGAGCCTGACATGGGGCTCCATCCAAGGACCCTGGGATCATGAACTGAGCTGAAGGCAGATGCTTAACTGACTGAGCCACCCAGGTGCCCCAACCCCCCACATGTACATTTAATCCTTGAACAACCCCAGTGTTTGAACTGTGCAGTTCCACTCTTACATAGATTTTTTTTTTTTGATACAGTACAGTACTGTAAATGTACTTCTCTTCCTTATGGTTTTCTTAATAACATTTTTTTTCTAGCTTACCTTACTTTTTGGAGAATACAAATTATAATACATATAAAATACAAAATATGTGTTAATCAGGTGTTTATGTTACTGGTAAGGCTTCTGGTCAACAGTAGGATGTTAGTAGTTAAGTTTTGGGGGAGTCAGAAGTTATACTAGGATTTCTGACTGGGGGAATGGGAGTTTTGGCACCCCTAAACCCCTACATTCTTCAAGGGTAAACTGTATATGAAAATGGAAAGTGCTATAAATAAGAGCTGTGAAATTTACAAGGAGTGGTGCGATTTACAAGGAGGAAGAAATAACTTCTGGCTAGGGGATCAAGGGAATTTTCCTTGAGGATCTGGCAAGTGAGATGATGCTTGGGAAATGGGTTGGGGCTTGGGGAATGCTTACTTGGGAAACAGAAATTGAGGGGAAGGGAAGAGAACAAAAGGGGCAGAAATGGGACAGGACTGCTGCAGGGAAATCCAGAACTGGCCTGGAGGAACACTTTGTAGCCCAGACTGGCTGGAACATTAGGATGTGTGAAGGGGATGATGTGGCTACATGGGCAATTTCCACCAAGTGATGGTTACTTGGGTCCGACATACTGGTAGTTAGTGATCTCTTGCTGAATGAAGAAAAGAATAAACTGACTGGATTGCCAGGCCGTGGAACCCCCTTTTATGTATCAAGCAATGGACAGGCAGTAAGGATTCCATTTAGAGGGGAATGACACAAGCAAAATTGTGTCTCAAGAACATTACTAGAGATCCTCATTCACACTTTGGGAAGAATTGACCTCAGGTACAAGGCTTGACCAAAGAAGCTCTCTAAGGGGCACGCTCCTGTCTCTGCACACTTCCTTTTGGGGACCCTCGTTGATCCTCAGCATCAACAACTTGCTGCGGGCTACCTTCTATTCCTAGGTTCTTTCTGGCATTTGTAAGTTCCAATCCAGCTGGGCCACTTCTACTCCTTAGAAACCGTTTCTGGCGGGGCCATGAAAGGAGACAGTATAAGACGCCTAAGGCCCCGAGGGACGCGGAGTCCCTGAAATCGCCCTTTCCAACCTCCAAGACGTGTACCTTTCTGAGGTCCTGCGGGCAAGGACTGGTGGCGTCTGCTCCTCGCCCTCCACACTACTAGGGGGCGCGCTCGGCCTCCGGCCCCCTTAGTTCTCAGGCGCTCGCCCTCCCTCGCCGCGCCGGGTTAGGCCACATCCTCGGACCCAGAGGCCGCGTCAGAGTTCCGCACCGGCCAATCCAAACTGTCCATGTACTAGCGGGGGCGGGGCTGCCGAGGCAGGAGGAAGATGGCGGCGGGGGCGAGGTGAGGTGTTGGCAGTAGAAAGGGGTTCGGGCGTGGGGGGCGGGGGAACGTGGAGCGATGATGGCCCGCGCCGGCCGCAGGGCTGGATAAAGAGCCGTCGCGCCGCGGGTGTGGGAGGGAGGGAGGAGAGGGCGCCCGGGCGCCACGAGAGTATGACGGGGCTGTACGAGTTGGTGTGGCGGGTGCTGCACGCTCTGCTCTGTCTGCACCGCACGCTCACCTCCTGGCTCCGCGTTCGGTTCGGCACCTGGAACTGGATCTGGCGGCGCTGCTGTCGCGCCGCCTCCGCCGCGGTCCTAGCGCCGCTCGGCTTCACGCTCCGCAAGCCCCCGGCTGTCGGCGGGAACCGCCGTCACTACCGGCACCCACGCGGGAGGCCGGGCCCGGCCGCCGCCCACCCCCGGCTGCGCTGGCGCGCGGACTGCCGTTCCCTGGAGAAGCTGCCAGTGCATATGGGCTTGGTGGTCACCGAAGAGGAGCAGGAGCCCAGCTACTCGGACATCGCGAGTCTCGTGGTGTGGTGTATGGCTGTGGGCATCTCCTACATTAGCGTCTACGACCACCAAGGTGAGGTCCGGCGCGGGTAGGGGGACCGGGGCGTCTTCGACCGCGGGGACCGCACATCCGGCAGATGTATCCCGGACGTGCGGCTCACCGCGGCGCTCCCGCCTCTTCCAGTTGCCGGGTCGCGAGGCCCGTAAGTGCAGATTGCGGTGCCAGCGCTTTCAAGGAAGGGTGATAAGATTTAGTGAACACCTGGGCGCCTGGGTGGCTCAGTCGTTGGGCGTCTGCCTTCGGTTCAGGTCGTGATCCCGGGGTCCTGGGATCGAGCCCCGCATCGGGCTTCCTGCTCCGCGGGAAGCCTGCTTCTCCCTCTCCCTCTCCCCCTGCTTGTGTTCCCTCTCTCGCTGTGTGTCGCTCTGTCAAATAAATAAATAAAATCTTAAAAAAAAAAAAAAAAGATTTAGTGAAAACCTACTAAGTTCCTGCTTTCTCTGCATCTAAAAAATATGTCTTATTTATAATGCCTCAGTAAGGCAGATGGTATTTGTATACCCTTGTTTCACAGAAGAGGGACCTGAGGATCGCCAGCATCTGTGCTTTTTCACGTATTTGCCCTTTTGTTACACCACAGTGTTTCTTCAGAGATTCAAGGAACTGCTCTTAAGTCCCTGTCAGGCTGTGAAGGACTTAGGCATAAGCTGAGGGATCGGGCCAACTAGCATTTGAACTGGGCCTACGAAAAGTATGTGAGAGGCTGGATAGGCAAAAATGAAACTAGTCACCTAGTCTTCAGAGGTCTGGGGTGGTGTGCAGTCGTGGATCCTTAGTGGCTAACGCAGTACTTGATAGAGTAATTCCCTCCTTTAAGTGCTGATTGAGGGAATGAATTGCACCGTGGGGAATTTTGTTAAGTACAAGAATTCAGCGCTTATTGGGTGGCTACAAACCTTAAGCACTGTGCTAAGCACATTCCTTGTAATTTTGCGTTTAACTCCATGGACTCTGAGGCTTATGGGGAGTAGACACGTACCTAAGTGACATGGTTAGTAACAAGAGGTGTTGAGAGTAAGTAACCACTATGAGAATGGCGGAAAGAAGTCCCGAATGGAAGAACCTGAGATGTTCAGGCAGAGGGAGTGGGCTTTCAGCTGGACATCGAATTATAAGTTGGTGGTAAGGTTGAGGAAGGCTCTGAATGTCAGGCTTGGGTTCAGTCAGATTTTGAAAGCAGTGGAATTTTCTTAGAGACAAAGATGTGGTAACAATGATTTAGATGTACTGGTATGAAGGAAAGGAAACTAATGTTTTATTCTCTGTTCAGTAATGTAAATTACTGGTATGCTCCACAGAAGCTACAGTTTGATTTTTTTCCTTAAAAATCTTTGTCAAATAGGTGGGTGTTAAGTGTGGGGATTTGTCAGAAAGAGTAGGTCAAGGTCAGACAATAACTCTTAGAGGGTATTAATCTTTGACCCGTCACCTTCCTTGCGGTCAGCAAGGAATATGGTGACTCAGTAGCCTGTCATCATCAAATGGTATTTAACCTGTAGGGTAAAGTTTAATAGGGGCTGACATTTTCTCGAACTTCCCAAAGAAGTCAGCAGACCAATAGAAATCATGAGACTTTTAGGAAGGGACACAATCTTTGCTTAAACCAGTGCAACAGAAATATTGCCTGGGGAAAGAAGTGAAGCAGAAATGGAAATTAGTTGAAGCCATTAAGCAATGTGGTGAATTGACTTATAAGTGAATCCTTATGCACAGGTGATTCTTTTCAAGCAAATACCTTTACATTCCAGAAGGGAAGGCAGATGTATAGCCAAACAGTTTAACTTGGTGACTAAGCCTTCTAACAGAGATTGTAATATTGCCATACTTCCTTGTTCCACCAATTGCTGTTAATGAATTGCTGATGTGGTTCAGAAATATCTTGTGTCACATTTGCTACAAGAAAAATGGTTGTTAATGAAAAGGAAGAAGTCAAGCTAACCACGTATTGACAGAAAACAGAATGGAGGTTTGGTTTGGTTTGGTTTTTAGATTTTATTTATTTGAGGGAGAGAGTGAATGAGAGAGAGAGCGTGCACGCATTGGCAGGGGGAGGAGCAGAGGGAGAGGGAGAGGGAGAAGCAGATTCCCCGATGAGCATAAGTCTGAGCATAAGTCTGACGCCTGGTTTGTGATGGCTGGAGTGGATGAAGGCAGGTTGGTCATGTCTTCACGTAGTCTTTCTATATGGCTGGCTTGGACTTCCTTATTTAATAGTGACCTCAGGGTAGTCAGATGGTAGCTGACTTCCCTCCAAGAGTGTTCCGGAAGACCTATCCAAACTTACAAGGCCTCTTTGACTGAGCTTAGGAAATCTTGCAGTGTTACTTACTTTTTGGGTACAGATTTCTCACACTGACATTAAAAATGCCTGCCCAGTGTACTCCCAGCCTCCTTAACCTACTTCTCACTATTTTATATACCTTTTGCTGTACCCACGTTTAGGTTACTTGATGTTCCCTCCCACCGGAATGTCCCTTCTCCTTTTCCTGACAAATGGCTGTCTACTAGTCACAAGGCTGTCATTGATCCTTGTAAGTCCATCCTCACTCACTATCACCTCTTAGGTAGCCTGTCTTGACTCTTCCATTCTTATCTTGCTCTATCCTGGGATCGCCCCAGAACTTTGTACATCTGTAAAGGTATTTCTCTATTCTAAAGTAGTAGTCACGTATATGGGCCTGAATCATCTTACTAGGTTGTAAGCTCCACAGATGCTATCTATCCTTTTCATTTTTGCTTCTCCTACAGTGTGTAGTTTGGTGTTATACATGTAATTTGTTTCCCAACATGAATACCCAGGAACCTTAAAATAATGGAGGGAAATGAAGGAAATGAACATAGTTTGCCTGAGTTATGTATTTGGCACAGTGACACAGATGCTGTTGGGAAGTATGGTTTTACTAGGTACTTATTGTTGTCCTCATATTGAAACACAGAGTTGGAAGAAGTGTTAAAGTCCAGTTGTACTGTGATTGCATCTTGATATAATGAGCAATACAAATGGGTGCTTGTCTTCCTTCATGTGGAAACTCCTGTAAGGGAGCATCTGTTCCTAATCTTCACCTTTGTGTACTTCATGTCTTGTGCAGAATTCCACATGTACTTTAGCATCCTGGAATGTCCTCTTGATTTTGTGCCACAGTTAGCTATCTGGCGAAAGGCTACCATCAATCTTTATAACGTCCACTCTGTAACCCCTAGGTAGCCTCTTGACTATTCCATCCCCACTGTGCTGACTTTGAAAAGCTGTATACTAGGGCGCCTGGGTGGCTCAGTTGGTTAAGCGACTGCCTTCGGCTCAGGTCATGATCCTGGAGTCCCGGGATCAAGTCCCGCATCGGGCTCCCTGCTCGGCAGGGAGTCTGCTTCTCCCTCTGACCCTCCCCACTCTCGTGCTCTCTATCTCATTCTCTCTCTCTCAAATAAATAAATAAAATCTTAAAAAAAAAAAAAAGAAAAGAAAAAGAAAAGCTGTATTCTGCTTTTGTTGACTTTTGAAATGACCTCATTTTCTTGAGTACCCTTCTGTTTAACTATAGTACTGGACCTGTGTATGAAAATAAACCTTTACTTAATAGGAATAGTTAGCCTTTGTTGAATTCTTACTATGTTCCAGATACTATGCAAAAAAGTGCATTAAATCCTTAGCAGTTTTACACATCAAGAAACTGAAAGCCAAGCACCCATATCTAGTAAGGAGCAGATCTAGAATTTGAACTAGATACTATTGCAAAGATTTTCTACTTAATCATTTTGCTATACTGACTTCCACTGGTAAGAGAATGTGACTATAATGTCACTTATAGTACTATTCCTAATTATGTTGGGTCATCTTAAAGCCTTGATTAAAGTGGTACTTATCTACAGGTAATGGAAATGATTTGTAACATATTTGAAGGCAAGTAGAATTTTCTTCATACCACTATTACAAAGGTTAATCCTGTGAATCATAGGACATACTTTTTAATCAACTAGATTTAATTTTATGGAACTCCTGCTCTGTGTTGAACTATTTCTTTGTAAGCAGAGTCTGTGAAGACACTCTTCTCATTTTTAAAATGTGCACCCAGGGGGCTGCGAAAGCCCACGGGGTTTGTTCATTTCACACCTCTCTCCTGGGGAAGAGCTGGGACTGGGCGCACCCCGCTTGTTGCATTATGCTGTGCCACCCTCACACCTGTGTCTTCCCTTGCTACCGCGCGCTCGGCCCAGTGTAATTGGTGTTCTGTGAAGTATCCTGGGGCTCTCCCTTAAAATAAAATTGTTTAGTGGCGTATAAGATTTATTTTGTTATGACTGTTTTAGTCATGTAAAATTTTAATGGTAGTTTTTTTAAATTTTAAATAATTGCTTCATATGTTATCTTCTCTGAAGATTGCCTCTGATAGTGTAATTGGACTGTTAGAGAAATTAAATGAGGGTAACCACTAGGTAATGGGTCTAGTTTAAAAG